TTTTAGTTCAACTTAAGGGATCTTAATTTTTCTAAATTAAAAAAAGTTAAATCTATCAAAATCTCTTATATCAAACTAAATATAGGTTACGAAAGCATAGAATACCTTAGAGAAGTAAAAAAGAAGGAAAACAATTCACATGCGCCGCGGCTCGTGCATGTTGCACTGCAACGTATTGCTCTATGTGCCACGCACCGCGGCATGTTACATGAAATATCAGCAGATTTTGCTATCATTTAACAGCAAAATTGGTGAACTTTTGATTTTTTCTGATTCTCTATGCGACATCCAAATGATGTGATTCTAAGTGTTTATGAAAGCTCTTTCACGAACTAGCTAGTAGCATGAGTTTCACTTCTAAAATAAGTCCACACAAAAAAGTTGGACACCCAGACACATTTTGATTACTTTTCACCACTTTCATTGAAAGGGTGTCCAAAACCCTCAACAAGTGCCACAAGCCTTTTTTAAACACTTGAATCATGTTTATTAGACCTAAGACTATTAATACAACATGTCTCATGCACTAGAACATAAGCATAGCATAAATTCACTCTTCAACCCCTTTTAACCAAAACAGAGGGGGAAGTTAATATTCATTACATTGCCATCAAAAATCATTAGAACAGGTCTAAAACATTATTTCTACACTTACACTATAATTTTTGACCCTATAAACATATATATCTCACCATACACAATTACTTTATAGCCCAAAATATAAATTAGACATTTTCAACAATAAAATAGTGCAAGTATGATAGCATGCACCTAGAATTAGCAATTATAATAATATTACACAAAATAAAACTAAGCTAAAGGCATACAATAGAAATGTGCTAATTCCTAACCTCTTGAACCTTCTTTCTTTCTGCACCAGAGCTAAAGCCTGAAAAGTATTAAATAAATTTTTTTCTTATTCCCAATCCTTAAGCAAACTCCTGCCCACTAATTAGCCCATAAACTATATTCACTCGCCTCGTTTTTACATTTTCATTTGTTATTTATCACATTCACATGTTGGGTCCATAATTACATGCTACCTAAGTGAGCATCCAATAACATTTCCTCACATTCTCCTCACTTATCACACTAATCCATTTCTTCATTAACAACACATTTACCTTAATATACATCATATTCATATTCATCTTTCCAAGTCATATACATGTCAAGTTCAAAACCATCTTTGATTTCACATGTTTGCATTTCAAGCCAAAAGAGCATTACGCACATTCAAATTTTCATACACTATTGAAGGTAATAGATGCTTTCACATTGAAAATCAATCCATGCATGCAACATTCACAATTTATAATTAGCAATTAATTAGCATAGAAACTACCCCCAAAATAAGATTTTCCCAGTTACCCTCAAACCTTTAATAGGTTCAAGGTTTACCCTTCAATGTTATAGCTTCCAAGCTTGAATTTTCAAGCCAATGGGTGACCAAGAGTTTCAATCTACAATTTACCAAGTTAACTTTCATTAACATTGGCCAGCTCACACATTCAACGCTAATTTTTCCTTTTTTAGATTACCCAATATCTACATTACTTACATTTGAACCTATCCATTAGGTTTATTAACTATCTTTAACATCATATAGCTTTATTAAATATTCACATTGCCATTAAGACCCAACAACCACAATAATGACAATTTAATGTCCATTTCAGGATATTAATAAAGCCTATCATCTAATAACTAATAAAATCATTAATACGAAGTTTAAATACTCTAAATAACTCTCATTAACTCCATTTGAGCTAATAAATTCATACCTATAACTATATGGACTAAAAATTTACTGCTACTTTCAAACCCTAACTCAAATCCTTAAAAAAATTGAAGAGAAAAGGAGAAGAATGGTTTAAGAATCTTACCTTGGATGATTTGAGCTTCAAACCTTTTCAATCCCTCCCTCATGTCATGCCCTAACAGAGTAAATGTTTCTTTGTTCCCCTACACGCGCCACGGCATGTGGCACAAAGGCTTTTTAGCTTGTTTTTCCTCCACTTTTTAATCCCCTAGTGACCAATTTCACTTTGAACTTAAATTATACTTGAAATTTTAACTAAAACACTTATTATTCTCCTCTGACCACACACCACATTAATTCACTCAATTATCCTAATTAAGTTTAGTTAATCAGGGGATAAAAATTGGGATGTTACAACAATTGGCTAAAATATATTTTTAGTCCTCTAATTTTATATAAGAGTTTTAATTTAATCTTTTAATTTTACAAAATATCTTTTTAGAAGTTTAACTCTGCTATCATTTATTTCAAATGATTTTTTTTTGTGTCATCATTGTTATTTTAAAAAATTAAACTTAATACATCAACATTTAATAATATTTTTTCCATATTTAAAAGTTCAATACAAAAATTTGTTGAAATAAAACACAATATTAAATTAAAGAACTAAAAAACACTTTATAAAGTTAAAGGAATTGAAAATGTTATCTAAGTTAAAGGACTAAATATATACTTTAACCTAATCAATTTTAAATGTATGTTAACATTAAACATAATTTAAAGTTCAGAAAATAAAACTACATATTTTCTTTTTGTTTAAGAATAAATTATGTTTATAAAGGCCAAAAAAAGTCCTAATGTTTCTTGGACGTGGGATAGTATTCTCACTGGACGGGCTTTTCCTTAAAAAAAAATATGTTGGCAAGTTGGCACTGGCCATTATATTGACATGTGGAAGGATCCCTGGGTGCCGAAGTTTCTAAATTCTTGTTGCCAAAAATAGAGGATGCTGTTATCAATAATGACATGGTGGTGGCGGAACTTATTCATGATTGTCAATGGAATTTGCAACCAGTGCAACATGTTGTTGGAGGCCCCTTTTCTCCAACTCATTCAGACTCTGCCTCTGTCTAGACACAGGAGGGATGACAGATTAATCTGGGCAAGGCATAAAGATGGAAAGTACAGTGTACACTTGGGTTATCAAGAAGCTCTAAAGGGTGTAGTGACTACTGATGCTCTCTGCCAGGCGAGCTCTTCAAGTTCTATGGATAAGCACATTTGGAAAGCAGCATGGGGCTTGCATGTGATGCCAAAAATCAGATCCTTTATCTGGAGGACCTTGCACAATGCTTTAGCTACAAGAGAAAACTTATACCAACGAACATGTGCTGCAAACCCACTCTGCTCTATCTGTTGGGAGAGTTGGAAACTATCGAGCATCAGTAGTTAAAGGGTGGATAGAAAATGTACAAGCTAATTCACCATTCCATGCTGAACTAATTGCACTCCACAAATCTATACGTCTGTTTTGAGTAATGGGGCCTTGCCAACACGATCATTGAAATGGATTGTAGTGATCAATTTAAAGCAGTAACTATGCAAGATTGCTCATAGTGTCCTCGGCAATACCAAATCTGGCTGATGTGTTTGACTTGTTGATGGATCGAAGAATGATTTCTTTCTCTCTCATTTCCCGTTCGGGTAATGTTGCCACCAACTTCTTGGGTGCTATAGCTTCAAGGGAGATGGGACCTGCAAGTCTGGCTTTACCACCTCCATCTCCTCGAGCGTCTATCATTCTTCGCCAAGCAGACGGTGCAAGCATATCTTGTGAGGACCATCTCGCTGTAGAGGCAAATAGGAAAGGAATTGGTTGAGAACACGTGTTGCTTTGGGATCTTTTTTACTAGTTGTCATTTGTTTATTTGGTTTGCCTTTTGTTATTGTCGAACTTGGTTTTTTCTGCCTGGATGCCTCTTTATTGGTAAAAAGAAAAAAAGAATAAATTATATTTCTAAATTAAAAAAATTGTAACCTTTGTTTCCTGTTGAAAAATGAAAGGAAAAGAAAGAAAAATTGTAACGCTTTTTGCGCACCAAAGATTTTTTTTACCAACATAAAAATAATAAAGATTAGAACACAATTTAAG